TCGTACCCTTTATGGATTACAAAAGCTTATTAGCTCTTTCTATCTGTACGGAATTTGCGATAACTCCTGCCAAAGTCTTGGAATCAGGCGGCCACGCAAGCTCGACATGAATAGATCGGCATTTAATGCTTAGAAAACCTAACAAGACGAATCATGACACTATTGTCGATAGGGATAACATAGCAAGGATAGATATTTTAACGTGCTTTAATATGAAATTTTGTTATTAAAGCTGGTCTATCTTTTTTAATTAGCTTGTTTTTTTGCAACCCTGAGAGCTTTACAAAAACATTGAAATGTTTTTAAATCTAAAAATTATCCGTAAGTAGTAGATATTTAGTACAAATGTTCATCGAAAATACTAGGGAATTTCTCAAACCCATTGCCTCGTAGTTCCGTTATTGATTGCCGCCATAACTCTGGATTTCACGAGTGAAACTCGGCCATCGAAGTTTTCTATACAAATGGCATAAAATTCTAAGTTTTAGATATAATATGTAACGTTGTACTGAATCAAAACAGACTTGACTTTGCAGTAATTGGATTAACTTTGTGTCATCATTTTTGTTGGTTAACATTATAAAATTGATATGGAACTTCATAAATTACGTGCAACTTCATGATTTATAATCTAGGTAGTTCCGTAGCATCTACACACGTGTGTATTTATTTCTATTGATTATGTTTGTAATTGAAGACTTGTGACTTATTTAAGCGTTCTTGTTATTGGTGAATAACCAGCCTTTTTATCAGTTTCTTGACGGTGATTAAACTTTTATAAAATTTTAATATGTTTTTTAAATAATGTGTTTTATATGAAGCGTAACAGGAATTGAACTGAGTGACGAGACAAGAGATCTATATGTTGCATATCCTAATCTGGGAGGCCTCTGGAGGCAAGCCAGTAAATAAGTCAGAAGGCATTAAATCTGTCTTTGTATATTTTTAATAACAAATTAATACGATAAACCATTAATTCAGAGACAAAATGTCTGACAGAGGCAAATTGCGTGACGTCACATAAGTCTCGACGGTGACCACTCACCACACATGGGGTAAATACTGATTCGCGACTCTAACTTCCCGACCTAACAGCCCGTTAGTTCCACCACGGAAGTTTTAACTCAAACTAACTTCATTTATAATTAAAACACAGTGCAAAGATATAAAAAAGTTTCCGGATAAAGTTAATTACCAGCGAACTAATCTAGTCCCTAATGCGATGAACTTAACGCAGTTACAAGTTCGCCAACGAACTTGATCCTTCTTAACTGCTAAGTGTAACTTTTTAAAATAATTAAGATTATGCTCTTAGTGCTCAGTATTACTTACGTGACTAAATTCATTTTAGAACTTGTTATGAAGGAAAAAATAGTAAACTTATGATTTTTATGACGATACCTTAATCATATATAGAGACGGCTAAATATGATAGATACTAACTGTATATTTTTCTCCTTTTAACGAACAAAAATTTTTACCACCAGCTAAAAATATTTCTACTAGCTTTTAAGTATTTGAACCTACATTCTCAGAACACTACCAAATTATTTTGTTTTTAAATGATAAAAAAAGAATCCATTAATTGGTGATATAAGCCGGTAAAAGTATTTAACATGGAAAACGACTATTATTTGGGATTTCTACGTTTAGTCGTAGTTCACAATTATTATCAACATTTTGTATCGATATTAGTTCCAACAAACAACAACACTATAATGGAAGAGCCCCTCCAACCCGTGGAACACCTGTAAGGACCTTTCCGTTCGCTCTCCTATCGATTTATTTGTCTGTCTGTACGTACATCGCTTTCAGGTGCCATCGGATCTTATTAGAATTCAATTTGTCATGCTTTGCAAGAACGCTTTTAAACATTGCTAGCTTTGATCTCTTTCATTTATTAAGTGTCAATTATCATTTTCTTGTTCATTATACATAGACTAAGTTTATATTTTATTTTTATAATTTTAATAAAACATTGCCCTCACTTTAGGATAACGTTATCCTGTGTTGTAAGGACGTTTTACAAACATAAATTGCACGGGGATAAACACCCAGATGCGAAACAACTATCTGTGGGTCGCACAAATAGTTATCCCGTGTGGGAATCGAAACCTCGACCCCCGACGCCGAAGTCAATACCTTGGCAACTGCGCCACGGAGTCATCGTCACATTTTATCTAAAGTAAAGACAAGGCGGAATAGAGTGTGGTACACAGATTAATTACAATAGAGAAAGTGACAAAAACTCTGTTGGTGTCTCGGTGGCCTCGTTGCTAAGCTACCAGCTTCGGCGACTGGGGCCGTGGGTTCGATTCCCACACGGGACAAGTACATTTGTCACCCACAGATATTAAAAAGATCTGGGTGTTTGTTTCCCAAGGATGGTTGACGTCAGGCTGGCGGCCGGTCGTAAAGAACATAGACAAATCAACTTACAACACGATTAACATGTTCTGCCGACCCGACCTAGGTAGAATAAGGGCAGGAGGATGGTAAGAGAAAGTGATAAAAAGCATTTCGTACCTTAATCAAACCTTAAGCAGTAATTTTATCAGATTCACGCCAATAGTAAGACAGAAATATTACTTTTATTTTATTTCAAAAGCGTTACTGCTCATGGGAACAACGCCAGAAATAAAGCACGAGTGTGGGTCTGTTCTTTCGTAAGAATTCAGTCATAAAAGTCTTCTTTGAGACCATGGTACCTCTCCCCTATTCAGCAGGAGCTGTTATTTAAGCTGCTGCTCTCACAATAAACAACACCTACTGGTGTGAAGCGTTATATTTATCAAGATTATTCGCTTTGAATTCCAAAAAATAGCCAACAGCTGAAGACAAATTGAATGTTATCACATACTAGTAATTTAGTACTAGAACTTGAAGAATTATTCATAGATTTTGTATTTCACAAGTTACATTTATACTAAGTTTTATGCGCGTAAACTAAGTGCAAATCATGCATAGTATCTTCTCGTCTGGTTTCGCATGGGCAGGAAAATTTAAGTGGCCAAAATTTTTGTATCATAATTTGGGGAATAGAAATATTAAATACTTATATAACGCACATTTAGCAATGTTTATATTTTATCGATAAATATTCAGGACGTGTTTTAAAGAAACAGTGTCATTGATAGTCGAATGGACATTTTTTCACGCTTTTACCTTACGTGACGATTTCTACCAACTCAAACCGCGTTAAGGAATTTCATTCCAAAAAACATCATCGTTAGCCTTACAAACTATACACTTTTTGGAATAAGGTTCATATATCACCCATTACATAAAAAACATACAGTTAAACGAATGTTACCTATTTTAAAATATAAGTGTAGACCATATGTTTAACGTTAACAACACAATAGAAATCTTATTGAGTATCTGAAAATCTTAGGGTATATAATATGTTTTTATAGTATTCGATAACAAAAACAATATAAATAATTTTTAGTCCTAAGGCGTTTGTAGAACGTGTATGAGACCAACTTTTAATCCGACTGAAAAGGATTCTGTAATAGAAAAATCAGGGACGTCAACTGAAACCAATTTACAAATGAAACTTTACTCTCCCACTAACAAATTCTACGGCGACAAAGTTGTCCAGTTTCCATTTCAACGGGTACCGCCGTACGAAAGTTAGGTCCGGGGACAAGTTACAACGTTGTCAAACTAGCTCCCTATTAGTTGTTTGATTTAATTTCTTAATCGTTTATAAAGCTCGCGATAGTCAGTATTAGAAAAAGTATAATGCTGTGCACATAAAGTTTGTTTAAGACGACTGTACTTCTGTATGCTATAACTGTTTTACGGTCTTGTAATATCATTTGAAATACTTCGGAAATAACCTACATTTGTGATCAAAAGCAAAGTATTAAAAATAAAGATAAGCCATAACGATTTGTTTAATAGTAGTTGGCGGTTTATGTGTTGTTAAATTGACATCTGTTTTTGTACCTTTTCTCTATTTACTTATTGAAATGGAATGTTTAAATTATAACGTGAAAGTTTCTGATGAGACTAATCGTTTTTTCGGTGAGCAAGATTTAATTTTGAATCCGGAAGGGAGACTACTGTAGTGTTAATATTACGTTGAATTAAGAAATTTTGTGAATATATACACACATAGTTTATGACATCATTATATAACTTGTCAATTTATAACTCATCACAAGCAACCATGCTGGAATACAGTATCATTGAGACTGTATATGTGTAAATCTCCCTATCCGAAGACTTCTAATGGTTCTAAAGTATCTCCAGTAACGTTCGCAGTCTGGCAACAACCAAAAGTTGCCGCCGTTATTGACGTTAGCCGAAGGCAATAAATCCCTGCGTAATTCCTTCAATTGGAGACTTCTGTACAGTAATGTACGACAGATTTGAAGGTAGTATGTGTAACATATTTCTTAAAGACGTTATCATGTCCCTAAATATTGTAATGTTCGAAATTTTGGGGATGTAAATATAAACAAATGAATTGCGAACAAATTAAAACATTTCCATTTAACAACGTGCGGTAAAACTTAATAAAAGAGATCACTAAACATTCTTAAATATTCAAATAAAAAAAAGTAGCATTTTTTTAATTAACGGGTTTTTGGTTGGTAGCGATTAGAATAACGGCATACATTATTTCTACAACAGATATTTATTTAATATTATTAAGGGTGCCGTTATCTGTAAAAGGAAACATTAAAACCCTTTTAGGATACATTGTCTTGTACTTCCGCTACCGCGTGCCCTTTCGGTGGAGAATTTTCGATCGTTAAATTTCATTACTCGCTACTCTCCAAGTATAAATGTACACAACTCGTTAATTCAACTTTGCAAGTCCAGATGGAATTTTTCGTATTCGAAACTCGAACAAGACGTTTTCATCTATGGAGCGTGCGATGTTTCGTTTCATCTGAAAGTTTGTTGCTACGAGATTTTATACATGTTACCGTTCATGAACGGGTCGATCTAGGTGCATGTGTACATGTAATGAAATGAAGTATTTAGCCGTGCACATCGAGAGAGAGCTCCACAGGTGCGAAAGTTACCAGCTCCGTTGGCCTACCGGCGCCTTGCCGTCTACCTTTGGATTCGGAAGTGTGTTTGTTTTCCGTCGGTCCACACTCCGCCGGCCCACTGACCGAGTGTTCCATCGACCGGCGCATGCGCGAGGGGCCGCTGCCGCCAGTGATGGGCCCCATCGGCGCACCGAGACATCGCTGTCAACGAAACCCCCTACGACGCTGATATATTTTTCAGCTACGCGATTTCCCCTTCCGTTTCGATGCCTTTTAGCCAGCGTACAATTATAATGCTTGCATCGTATCTGTTTAAAAACCAGCCAAGTTAGAATCGGACTAGAGCATGGAGCGTTCAAGAGCATGAGGGAGCATGGGGGGTTAAGGTATTTTTACAGAAAATGGTACGCATTTTCTGTAAAAACGACAAAAAATCATGTCTGTTGTATGGGAGCTCCACTTAAATAATTTTTATTCTGTTTTTTAGTGTTTTTTGTTACAGCAGCAACAGAAATAAATCATCTGTGAAGAGTGTCCGATTATCACGGTTCATGAGGTACAGCCTTATGACAGGCAGACAGACAGCGGAGTCTTAGTAATAGGATCCCGTTTTACCCTTTGGGTACGGAACCCTAAAAATGATAGTTTAAGACTTTTCTCTTTTTATAATGATTGTTGGGCGCACGTAGAATTTTATGACAAACGAATAAATGATTCATTATTTATTCATTTGTCATAAAATTCAACAATACAAATAAAAGGTTTTACAATACAAATAAAATTAAAGACACTAATTTGAAGTGTATCTCGGTGCAGCGGTTTTTTGGTTTAATTCATGCAAACGACATCAACGAGATATCGTTCGATGCTCTACGACGCCGCTACGAAAATCGAGTGATCGCAATCGGGTGGAGTAATCGATAGAGCGCCTCTTCGGGCCGTGCGTCACTAAGAGAGGCAGTCGCGACCCGCGCCGCGCCCTGCACGCGCGTTTCCACCCCGCGATTCAACATTACCTTGCTACGTACAGACCCGACATCCGCTAATGCGATTTGTTTACATCGATTCACCATCACGTGTCTGAGGCGTTTGTGGTGGGCTGAGCGCAGACGGTCATCGCCGCACCGCCGAAGCAGCCTCCGTAGCAAACGGTAAGTATTCTCACGGATCAACCCCGGCGTAGCGTTCTTAATAGTTAACCTTGTCCCGTTTCCCTTTCATATCCGGAATATCACATTCTTTTGTTAAGACGACTCATTTACCCGGAGAAGTGGACGCGTATCTACTTAGAAACAGTCCACGTGTCAGGGCAGACCGTGCGGTTATAGTCTGTGCTACGAGCCCCGACCGATGTAGTAAATTCAAAGGAATACCTACAAATTCCTTACATCCGTCGTATTAACGATTATATCCTATCAACTAACACGAATGTTGTGTTTTTATCTAATTTTTATTCAAATCGTAGTAGAATCTGTTGCGAAAAATGCAAGAAAAATAAAAATACAATTTTGAATAAAATTCTCAAACTTTTCAGAATAAAACTGCGCATTGAAACATTAGCCGCTATTAAACTACATTATAAATCTTGTTTACTTACAAGTTATTTTAGAATCTGTTGATTTTTTATCATTACAAAGTACAATCCTTATTCCATCGCTAATTTCTGCATTATTGTAGATTTCAACTAGGGAAGCGTTCACAAGGGTATTATAAATTGTAATATAAACGTTCCATATCATAAATTAATGATTATAACAGAAATGTTTAACAGAGGATACGATAATTTTTAAAAACCCATTATTGTTTGAATGTGTTATAAGAATTTAACTTTATATTGTTTTGCTCCGGTTGACTGAAAAATTTAAATGCTTATACTATTCTAAATATATAGTTTTATACTATTCGCTAGAGCCGTGATAGCTCAGTGTCCAGGCGCTCGCCTTTAATTCAAAATACTCGAGCAACCTGAGTTCGATCCCCGGTGCCGGCACCAATGAAGTTTTTAACTTTAAGTGCTGTCTTATCACGTGCTCCGCGGTAAAGGAAAACATCGTGAGGAAACCTGCATATTTTCGAAATAATAACAAAAAAATATTTCGAAGAAATGTGAAGTCCGCCAATCCGCAGTGGGGCCGCGTAGTGGACTATGCCCTGATACCCTCTATATAGAGGAGGCCTTTGCCCAGCAGTGGGACATGTATAGGCTGTTACTTTACTTACTTTACTATTCGCTAACAACAACTACAATGGTTGGTAGGTATTTCTGAGACGCGGAACTTGGTCTCCATAAAATAGATGTACTTGTCTAAACCTGCAGATATCTTAAGATAAGCTGTTATCTATCACGAATTTAAAACAAGCAGTCCTAAATACCTGTGAATTAAAAACGTGAATAAACTTTTTCGTATTATTTATAACATTTCGTATATGTTATGTGTACAAGATAAGTTAGATGTGAGGTGTAAGAAGTAAAAATATAAGAGAAAATGTAATTACCTTGTAATAATTCCTTTGAATCGGGGAATAACTAAATTGATGTTATTACCTTGTTAATATCCATTAAGATAGTTAAGTACTTAGATTGTAGTAGCATAATGCTCAAGATAAAATTGTTTTAGATTTAATTATAAACTTAAATATTTGGCGGTTTGTTCATCACGGCAGTCTAAATGTAGAAATGCAAAAAAAAAAAAAAATAGAACCTTTAAGTAGAACCAAAATAACACCCTTTTAGTCTATGGTTAATCCTAATTAAATAAGTAAAGGATATTCACATAAATAGCTTGGCCTGATTAGAAACTGAAAAACGAAACAATGAACAAAACAGGTAGGCTGGTTTGCAATTTCTCCTTTTTTCTGTGATTATAGAAATTACGGAGTGGGTAATTCTCTTAAACGTACGAGTATATGTTGCATGCGAAATGAAAGTATTCAGGTCTTTTTAGGGTAATGATCGGAAAGTACTGTACACGTTAAACAGAATTTTCACGAGCAAAATTACGAAACATTAGAAGGCGGCTGAATATGTAGATGAAGAAATATTTTATTTACTGAACTTTACAAAAAGAGATGGAACACAAACATGATTAATATTTTTATTTAATATGTATAACAATTGTACAGTCTCAGAGTAATATTTATTTGCTGATGGAGTGAATAAATAAAAGTAGGATTGTATTCTTTCGTTCTGTTTGTCAAGTTCACATATCGTAGTAGCTGAGTTGTCCACTTACACCTGGTACTATATAACTGCGTATTTTCACGAGACAAAAAATCGAGTGTTCCATAAATATTTCCCAAGGGTCTCAACGAAGCGATTTAAAAAGATTTATTGCTATTATTACCCTTCATCAGCAGTCAACATCCCATCCACAAAGTTGTTCCAGATATTCCATTAATGTGTTCATTACTTCTTATTACATCAGCTATCTGCCAGTGAAAATCGCGTCAAAATCGGTCCAGCTGTTTCAGAGATTAGCCGGAACAAACAGACAGACAGGCAAAAAATGTTATATTGGTATATGTACCGTGTATATGTCCATATGCATTTAGTAAAAAGCGGTTATTTAAGGTTTAAAGAATTTTATTCTCATATAAAACACAAAGTTTTACATAAAATGGTGTATCTCATTTTATGTAAAACTTTGTGTTAAAACATACGACATATAGTTTATTTTAACCTCTTTAGCATTGTGGAAGACAAAAGCAGTAATATTACTTTGAGGGTAGATGAAAGTAAAAAATAGTACAATATAATTTTATAAATTAATTATCTTATTAATAATATATAAGGTCTATGTTCTGGTACAAGTTTAATATTACAAACAAACTCTCCAATATTAATTATACGTATAGGTACTTTTTTGAAATGTACCTTAACCCGTCTCATGCACCGGCGTACACTACATCGCGATAATTAAGTCAGTTAAAGATCCAAAATTCTAGACGTTAATCCAACAGAGCTCACAGTCGTGAACCTTAAAATCCAACTTCGCTTCTAGATAGCACAGTTCCGAGCTTAACGTCAAACTGACTGTAATTGTATAGATAATGGTAAGCCGAATAAATGTTAATCTCCTTAAATGTTCTTTACTTACTTTTGAATTGGTATTGAATTGGCTATACAATAACAACTTGTTGTGTTGATTATTTTAGGAAGAACTCTCTGTTCTAGGAGCAAATCAGCTGCAATAGCAAACGAATTCAAAAAGGTTTTGGATAAGTTATTAAAATTAAAGCCACGCCAACTATAATGAAGCTATAAAAAGAAGAACACATGGGATGTATGCGGATGTGATTTGTGTTATTTCGTGTGTGTTATCGAATTTATTTATGTCTGTGTGATACGCATAAATAATTGCGAACCATAAATGTGTATGACATTTGTAATTTTTTATTAAAATCGCTATGTAAGCGTAATTAAAACCCCGAATAAGACTTAAAGAATGAATGTAAAGGGATTGCTTTTGTCCAGTTTTGGCAATTTTAATGGCTCTGTTAATGAACAATGAATAATGTTACTTCGTGTGTTCATGACACTTCATGTGAAATCAAATTTAATTAAAACCCTTTTTTAATTCGGCCTTTAAAATGTAAATATTTATGGTTTTATATAAAGTGTTTTTAAGAGACATTTAGTTAATTTGTAGTTTCAATTGATGCCGTTTGAAATGTAGTTAATATTTAGGGTAAAACGGGACCCTATTAGTCTGTCTGTCTGTCCGTCTGTCACCAAGCTGTATCTCATGATGTTACACAGTTGAAATTTTCACAGATAATATATTTCTGTTGCCGTTAAATATACTAAAATAAACTAATAAAAAAATATTTAAGTGGGGCTCCCATGCAACATCCATGATTTTTTTTGCCGTTTTTATAGATACGGAACCCCATCGTGCGCGAGTCCGACTCACGCTCCGGTTTTTAATGTGTTATGATGATTCCGTGACAAATTGGGTACAATTGGCTCACGGGATAACTATTTGTGTAACCCACAGGTTACTGTTTCGGATCCGGGGGTTTTTCCACGTTAAATTTGTTTGTAAAAGGTCCTTATAACACAGGATAATGTTATCCTAAAGTAAGCGCAATGAACGTATTTATGTGTATGGTTAAAAGAAATTATTTTACGGATTGTATCGCTTTTAATTTCTGATGTTTTGAAACCTTTACAACGTTCATTTTCATGGGAAATACTGTTTTGTACAAGGTCCTAATTTCAAAGTTAAATCGGGTTACCGTCATTTGTTTTATTCCAATGTACGCAAAAGGAGCTTACGGTATCTTGAGGTCTAACAGTGATCGTGTAATTGGACTAAATTTTATTAATTTTGGAACCCCAACTTTATTATAATACCCAACCATCTTCTATTTAAATTTGGATTATTATCTATTATTATCTTTATTTAAATAGCTTCATGGATCATCCTTGAGAGGATCCGGTATACTTTACGAGGATTTGAGGTTTGTCCAATCTAATGTAGATTTTGGGTCTAAAATATGATCACAAACCTCAAACTTTAACTGTCGGTGCTTCGCAATGTTTTTATTATATACTGTAAGTTTAGGTAAGGCGACGCAATGGTCTTGGCTGTTACACGAATCTCATCCAGGTAAATGTCGTTTCATAATATATAAATATTTAATACATAAACCGACGCCTGACAATTATTGTGTGGTAAGGCACTTCTATCTTTAACACTTTAGATTTAGATAGTCATAGCTATCTCTTTTTAGACAGTAGAGGTTGCCTGTTGAACTGCGAAATTCGCCAACAAAAAACATTTTCATAGCATTAAGCTCGCCTTTGTACAATTTTCTGTGCAATAAAGATTAAATAAATAAAATAAATAGAGGTCCAAAGCTGATACAGCTTCATTATTATTAATTACTAGCTGCTGCCCGCGACTACTTCTGCGTAAAATATGTCTTATTCTGATGTATACGCTATATTATTGCAAAGTTTCATTAGAATCCATTCAGTAGTATTTGTGAGAAAGAGTAACAAACGTCCATCCATACATAAACTTTCGCCTTTATAATATTAGTAAGGATTAGATTGTCAATTGTCACAGTTAGATTATAATCGTTCTCATAACCATCGCCTTATGGCTGGACGCCTATCCTGGACGGAGGCAGTAAGACATATTCTTATAATTTTTTTTTTATGTGAAAAGTTGCCAAACGAGCAGACGGTTCATCTGATGGTAAGTAAATACCGC